CTAAAACATTACAGGTTCATATATCTGCTGGAGAAAGGTTTTAGGCAGGACACGTCCTGTTCCTCCACTTTAGTTGTCATGAGTGGGGAAAAAAAAACATTTTAAGGCCCAAGAAAGGCTAGAAAACTCCTCATAAAGTCTAATTTAAAAGATTACAACATTTATTAAGGCTGATGTAAAAGATTACAAGAACGTTTATTCCTTAAACATATTATGAAATAATAAATGTGGTAGAAAACTTTTGAACAGTTTCTACATAATTTTACAAGAACATGATTAACTCTGGATGTGCTCCATATTGAGTTAATTACAAACACGTAGAAGCGTTGAGAGCACCCAAAACAAGTTAGAAAAATGCGTTCAAAGGGTTTTAACAGCTTAAACTTCAGCAGAACAAATAGAAATTACTCCAGAAACTTAACTTTAAACTTGGTGACACGAGTACCATACCTCTGATAACCTGCTCGTTCGCTTCCGAGATTAATCACTGTCAGCTGCGACACTTCAAAGCGATGCAGCGCTAGTTTCCATAGCAACAGCAGGCCTGAGCTTACCCGTGGGATAGTGACGTTCACGGCTTCGACGTCGACCCGAACTTCGGACAGCGGCAGTGGGTCAGATGTCTTTGAGAATCCACCGTAGGAGATGATCTCCACATCATCATCATCATCGTTAGAGTCGTCTGAACTGAGACAGATCACATCCATGTCTCTCATTCGGTACTTAGTTCGCAAGAAACCGAAACTTAAGTCTAGGTGGGGGTGGTCCGGCGCCCTCAAGCTTCACCTAAATCAAACTTCCGTCCTTAAACACTCAAACTGTCACCTTCCGTCCTCCGTCCTTAAACACTCAAACTGTCACCTTCCGTCCTCCGTCCTTAAACACTCAAACTGTCACCTTCCGTCCTCCGTCCTTAAACACTCAAACTGTCACCTTCCGTCCTCCGTCCTTAACAAACACCTGAAGGCTCTGTTGAAAATGCATACCCTCTCTGAGGCACGTTATATTTTACCATTTCCATATAAAATCCGTCGTCGTAGTAAGTCTACGTAGTCGTTATATTGTTTGAGATTCTCCCCTAACACTAAATATTAACATTTCGCTCGGAAGAAACACTTAAAAAA